TGATCCTCCGCCACAGTTTGCTGAGAAGCCAAAAATAGGCGAATTTCTCAATAGAGCGTACCTGCTGTGGTCTGCCAACTGAGACCTCCAATGAACATCTTGCCCGGATCCTGAGATCCGTGTGACCCGTCATCAGAATCCGCATTCAAACGAGCCTCCTCGTGTCCATCGACCTCCTGTGGACTCTGCTCACGAATCACCATTCCTCCGGTTGCGGATGTCGTTGTCATTCTGATTTCGTTTTGAATTTCCGTATAAATTGTTGCTGTTTTTTTTTTGTACAAAGATGAAAAGTAGAGTAGATGGAAAGAGGAGAAAAAACTGGATTAACTGGTTCCTGCTGAATTAGTAGTTGTAAACTGTAGATGCTGCTGCTGCTTTTCTGATCTGATATTCTGATGACTGCGATATTCGACCACTACACCTCTGAAATTAAGAAAATTGTGGAAACTGGCTTGGAGGCGAATTTCTTGGGAAATTCTGGTTCGGGAAACTATAATTAATTAGGGGGAAAACAAAAAAATCCCGAAAATTTGAAGAAGATCGCTAAAAAATTCAAATTCTCAAGTTTCGCGCCGACACAAAAATTACAGAAAGTGTGCCTTATTGCGTCATGGTGAACATTCGAATTAAATTTTTCGCCGATTTTTTCTGATTTTTCCCAATTTTTAGTCCTTTTTTTCGAAATTTCAAAAGTTTTAGGAGGGTTTCATGAGACCGGGAACATTCTGAACTACATTTATATTGTTGAAAGTTTGAAAAATACGAATTTTCGAAGAATTTCGAAAAATTCAAAAATCGAAATTTTGTTTTTTTTTTCTAATTTCTGTATAATTTCAGAGCAATCAAAATAGTAAATGTGAGGGAGAATCTGAAAAAAATCGCTGAAAAATTCAAATTCCCTAGTTTCCCGCCGACACAAGAATTACAGAATTTGTGCATTATTGCGTCACGGTGAACATTCGAATGAAACATTTTTCGCCGATTTTTTCTGATTTTTCCCAATTTTTAGTCTTTTTTTGAAATTTCAAGTAGTATATGGAGATTAAAGAGAGATTGAGAACATTCTGAAATAGATTTGCAGTGTAGAAACTCTGAAAAATACGGATTTTCGAAGAATTTCGAAAAATTCAAAAATCGAAATTTTGTTTTTTTATCAAATTTCTACAAAACTTCAGAGCAATCAAAATGGTTAATGTGAGGGAGAAAACAAGAGAAATTCCGAAAAACCGAAGAAAAATCGCTAAAAAATTCAAATTCTTAAGTTTCCCGCCGGCACAAGAATCACAGACTGTGTGCATTATTGCGCCGCGGTGAACATTTGAAAGTAAATTTTTCCCAATTTTCAGCGAATTTTTTCAATTTTCGGGCTTTTCAAGGTATTCAATTAGTTTTAAAGACATTTTGAATTAAATTGATAGTGTAGAAACTGGGAAAATCGTGAAATTTTTCGAAAAAATCAGTTATTTTTTGGAAAAAAGGGTTTTAACTTCCAAGAATTAGAGACAACAAAACTTGCAGAGACGCAGAGAAAAAGTGATTTTCAGCGGTGGCAAACTACAGATTAATAATGTTGAGAATGACCAGGGTGGCGAAGAAAAACAAAAACAATCCGGAATGTCCTGACTGGAAGAGAAAAGGGAACAGCGATTTATAGATTTTCAGTTTTTTAGATATAAAATTGCGGACATCTGGAAATCCAGACGCATAGAAGACCTATACAGATCGTTTTCGAGGGGGGGGGGGTGTTTTCTTGCAGAAAAAAATGAAGATGTCAACATAAAAAAGCGAACGACGTTGACGTCTTCTACCCTGGGACGCACGTCTTCTTCATTTTTCCCCCAGGAGACAGACTAAACTGGTAGAAGACACTATATATTGGTTATATTGGGGAGGAAATTGCAAATCGTTTTTCTCCAATTACAAGAACAACAAATAGTATAAAAAGTGGATTGGGAAACTTCTAGAAAAGCCGACCTGGCGGGATTTTCAAATTTTAAAAGGGTTTTTAAATCAAAATAAATGTGGAAATTACATTAAAACGGGCCGACACTAAACTGATATGGCAGTGACCAGGCACCGAAAAACAGGTGGAAAATGTTTGTGTAAATAAACACTTTTTTTTGGTTAGAGAGAGAGTTGTTTATCACAATTCGGTCCGGCGGTGCTGGGAAGTGTTCTCCGTTCCCCTCGCCGGATACGAATGAGACAGATTACGAGGGAAAGAGGGAAAATTCGGGGGGAAGAAAACTATAATTAATTTTTTCCCCTGATTAACTTTCAGAGAGAAGCACGAAAACAAAAAAATTTCTGAGAAATTGAAGAAAAAACAGCTGAAAAATTCAAATTCTCAAGTTTCCCGCCGACACAAGAATCACAGACTTTGTGCATTATTGCGTCACAGTGAACATTTGAAAGAAAACTTTTCGCCGAGATTTTTTCACATTTTTTTGGACTTTTCAGGAAAATTCAAAAGAAGGAGAAAACGAGAAAAAACTGGAGAAAAATCGCTGAAAAATTCAAATTCTCAAGTTTCCCGCCGACACAAGAATCACAGACTTTGTGCATTATTGCGTCATAGTGAACATTTGAAAGAAAAATTCTCGCCGAGATTTTTCGATTTTCAGTGTTTTTTTTTCAAATTTCCGGACATTTTTTGAAAATTCTATAGTTTCAGGGAGAATTTGAAGACGTCGGGAACAGTCTGAACTACGTTTGTAGTTTAGAAACCCGGAAAAATGCAAATTTTCGAGGAATTTCAAAAAACTTTGAAAATCGAATTTTTGTTTTGTTTTTCGAATTTTAAGAAAATTTCAGAGCAATCAAAATCGAATTTGAGTGAGAAAACAAGAAAACATTCTCAAAAATCGCTGAAAATTCCAAATTCTCATGCTTCCCGCCGACGCAAGAATTACAGACTGCGTGCATTATTGCTTCATGGTGAACATTCGAATGAAAATTTTCTCGATTTTTTGATTTTCAGTGTTTTTTCCCAATTTTAAAGCCTTTTTCGAAAGTTTATGAGTTTTAAGAAAATTTAGAGGATACCTAGAACATTCTGAACTATATTTATAGTGTGAAAACCTCAAAAAACACGAATTTTCCGGAAAAATTTAAAAAATACTGTAAATTTAAATTTTCCGCTTCTTCAAAGTTTTAGCAAAATGTCAGACCTAGAAAAGAATATAAAAGGAATTCTCGAAAAATATGAAATTGAAATTTTTTCCAAAAACTGAAAAAAGCAAAAGCCAAAAGAAAATCCTAGATGTCTCAATTTCTTATCCAGCCAAAAAACTAGAATTCAGAATTAGATTTTCAGAAAAAGGGGGCGACGAAAAAAGTGTTTTCAGATGGGTCGGGCCGCCTCGTTCGGAACACAAAAACATGTTTTTGCAGTAGTGGTGGTAGAGACTATGTCGTGTATCTCCCTCCCCTCTGGCGGTCCCCCAATACAATGATAACTACTTTTTCTGACTGTCTGCGTCTCTGAGTTTTGATCTGCTCTCTCTCTTTCTCTCTATACTTTTCTCATTGAGGAGGCGCCCGGCGCCCGATTCAGTTGTTTTGTTTTGTTTTGTGAAGAGCGGGAAGATGAGAGAAGATTTTCAAGATTTCAAAAAGATTTGGGTCTCGCCACGAAGACTTACACGGTCTAGAAGGCGCGAGCGATCCTTGCAGGTTCCGTTCGAGCGTCGAGATTCTGAAAAATCAGAATTGGAAAAAAAACAAAAAATTCGTTTTTTTTCTCATTTTCAGAAAGGAGAGAATAACAAGAAAAAAATGAGACGGAAGCTGTCGTCGGGGAGCAAAAAAAAGTGGGCGGAGTTTAGAGGGAACGCGAAAAAACGCAAAAAAAACAACAAGAGGGGAGAGAAAAAGATGGAGAGCTGGATAAAAGAAAAGGAAAAATCGATAAGAATATTTATCAGAAAATCCAAAAAAAAGAAAAGAATTTCAAGGGAGAAAAGAAATTGAGTGAAGGGAAGGGTTCGATGGGGCACGAGTATTGTCATGTGAAAAGAACATGTGAGTACAGCTATAGGAACAACGATTTCGACGAACAAACATTAGAAACTTTGAAACTTGCAGAGAGAGAGATGCTGGAAATTTTGTTTCTCCTTTTTTGGGAACTTTTTCAACAGATTCGACGTTTCTGTGCACTTTTGCGTCATGGTGAACATTTAGAAAAATATTTACAGTGATTTTGTGCAAAAATCCGATTCGGAAAACTATTTTTACCATACTTGTAATCCGGGCCTTTGTCGGGCCTTCGCGGGCCCTGCCATAACTTCTTTCAGAATCTACATTTTCGAACCAACTCAATCAGATATGATAGAGCTCCACGAGTACTACAAAACGGTATTATTTGGAATACTGTATCTTATCTGTGAACAGAGTTACAGAGCAAAAGGAGCAAAAAAAAGCAGGCCCGCCCCGGGCCTGCCGGGCCCTGCGAGAAAAGCCACTTTATGATCTGTAACTTTGTTCATAGATAAGATACAGTATTCCAAATAATACTGTTTTGTAGTACTCGTGGAGCTCTATCATCCCTGATTTAGTTGGTTCGAAAATATAGATTCTGAAAGAAATATGGCAGGGCCCGCTAAGGCCCGGATTACAAGTATGATTTTTACCTAATTTTTCAAAAAAAAAAGGAAAAAATCGCTGAAAAATTCAAATTCTCAAGGTTCCCGCCGACATAAGAATTAAGGACAATGTGCATTATTGCGTCACGGTGAATATTTGAATGAAACTTTCTCGTCGAGATTTTTTCAATTTTAGAGCGATTTTTCCCAATTTTTTTTTGACTTTCCGGAAATTTAAAAGGGATCGAGAACTTAATTTATAGTAAAAACATGGAAAATCACATATTTTTCCAAGGCAAAACAAGAAAAAGTCGCTGAAAAATTCAAATTCTCAAGTTTACCGCCGACACTAGAATTACAAACAGTGTGCAGTATTGCGTCATGGTGAACATTCGAAAAACATTTACAGCGACTGTTCAGCGAATTACAGATGGTTTTTCCAATGAAAAACAGTGGGAGTTCCGAGATTTTTTGCGATTATTGGAAAAAACTCAATGGAAACTTTTAAAGCCGCCTCGCACGTATCACTCGATATCAATGCTCGAAGAAGAGCTCATAAAATATTTTCAGCTTTTCTCTCTCTCTCTCTCTCCTCACATCCGTCGTTTTAGGCGGAAATCCAGATCTCTCTTTTTTGGCGAAAA